TCATCAGCAGTGTCTGTACTGGACATCTTGGAAAACAATATACTTTAACGCACGCCACACAAACGACTGATTACAACCCTGTGCTGGTACCGAACTCGTACCAAGAAGGCGAATTCACCAATGAACGCTGCCCTTTCCATCTGACACTGGGCGATCACGTGAGCATCACGCTTCGGTTTTGTTTTGTTTTACTCTATCTTGGATTTGGATAGACTTTAGTCTACTACTACTACTACTATTATCTTTGATCGATACTTTTTGGCGGGAGAACAAGTCTTAAATAATATCAATGCTAACAAAATATACGTTAGTTGAACTTTGTTGTCACCCAGATTGTGACATTCCTGTCAAAAGTTATTCGCTATCTCTGCTTGATGTATTTTGATTAAATAACTTTTGAAGGAAACGTCAGATCTGAAGAATCTAAAAATATATATATGTGTGTGTGATTTTCATGTGAAACTGAAGAAATATATTCATTTATTCGTTAAATGTTTCATATTGTTTGATCCATCAGCAAAATAATAGAGCTCATAAGCATTATTTTAATTGTTTTCATACATATGAATGTAAGGGAGTACATTTTGGCTGAGAAATACCCTTTCATTTGGGTAAACGGTTATAGTGTAATGTATATCTAATTTGTATCTACTGAGGATATTGTTGTAAATATTTTTATATATTGTAATATTTGATTGTTGAGTTTCTATGATCATCCAGGTGTCTTACATCTCATTCAAATTTGTAGTGATTGTTTTTCACAAGCTTGTATCCAAAGCAATGTAATACATACATTAATTATGACTGAAAATGACATTTAGCTTGAAATTATCAAGTTGAAATTACTTTTGATGGAAAAAGTGTTCACGTTATTAACTTTTCTATTATAATTTGTTCCAACAGAAATAATAGCAATTTCTGAGAGAAAATCAGTATTAACTTCAATTGTCAAGTTGACGGGAATTCAGTCGAAATGTTGAAGAAAACCAATCGGTAAATTGTCGACACTTCGAAACTTTATTGTTCCATCTTCAGGACTCTGAAGTATTAGAACAAGACATACATGGGATTCTAGAATGTAGTTTTCTTTTAAAGACAAAATAAATTATGTAAAATAACAATCATTACAAAAAACGCAATACTATACAGAAAACAACGTGAACCTCTGTAAGTATTTATATTTTATGTTGAATTTATTTACTTCACCCTTTTTGAACCCTGAAAGCCACCCTGAATGTAAGTACTCATCAACATTGTTTTTTGTAAAGTGTTCGAAGCGCTAGTACTTCGTTTAGCAGGGAGANCAGTTGAAACGTTTGGAGATTGTAACCAAAGAAAACCACGGCAAAACCTGGAAACCAACCAAAATAACTTTGTGTTTGCTGTTCAAATCAATCAATCAATCAAAAATATACTTCATTGTCAAAGAAAAAAATTCTCATTAACATAGCTTGAATAAATAAAAAGAAACAGTCAGTTCACAGTAACAATGGAACAATATAGATTCTAACGCTACATGTAGACAGGACATAGGATTCTACAAAGCACTTAAGAATTGATTTACATGTATAGATAAGATAAATAAATCAGTCGGTTCGACCTCAAGGGTTCAGGTACTCAAAATCTGTCTTCAAGGAAATGAATTTTTTCTCATTTGAATCAGACATATTGTTTATAGAATGAAGATGCAGTAGATTGTTAGTATTATACTCTTTATGATGAAGAGTAGTCTACAGTGGTAAAACACTTGGCTCTATATATATATCTTATCGCCCTTTTTTGTACAACAAACACTGATTGCATCAACTGCTTGGTACATAAACCCCAGAAAGCAATACCACACCTCAGATGAGTCTCGACTAATGAAAAGTAAGATGTTTTTCCTGCTACTTTTCCCAACTCCTTGGTGATGATCCTGATAGCGTAGAAGCCAGATGCAAGTTTTTTGTTGAGATGTTTTACGTGTTCATCAAACTTAGGGTATTATCAATCCATAATCCCAAGAATTTGGTGCACGTCTTATTTTGATGACATGCTTATGAAGGCTTAGGTTTCCCGAAACAAATTTAAACGAAATTATGTTAGTTTTATTCACATTGTTAGTTAGTTTTATTCACTTTCTCCAAATCAGTTTCAATTATATTTCTGAATGAGTCTGTATCATCTCCATGCCATAGTGAAGTTGTATCGTCTGCAAACATTGTAAACTTTCCTTGTATGTTGATATTAGATAGGTCATTCACATAGATAAAGAACAAGATGGGACCGAGCACTGATCCTTAGGGCACTCCACAGGTGACTTTTGAAAGACTAGAATTTTTGTTCTGCAACTTTACCATTTGAATTCTGTCTGAAAGATAAGATCGAAACCAATCAAGGGTTGTTCCTTTGATCTCATAAAGGAACAATTTTTTCCAACAGCACTCTGTGATCAACGCAATCAAAGGCCTTAGAAAAGTCGCAGAATACTGCCGCAGCTACTTCACCTTTATTGAGCCTTTCACATAACTCTTCTAGGAAGACGAAGATAGCATCATTTGTACTTTTGGATCTTTGAAAACCAAACTGTGAGCCAAAGTAGATATTAGTGAAATAGGACGGAAATTGGATGGCTCATTCAGTTCACCACCCTTGTGAATTGGAATCACTATAGCAGTTTTCAGTACACCAATTGAAAATGATACATTTATTGATTCTGCCAGGGCATAAAGGGTATGATCTGGCAGTTTTTCTAATAAATTTACTGATATTTCATCGATTCCATGCGTTTTTTATTGTTCATTCCCCTAAATGTTTCCTCAAGTTCTGCAATATTTGTATAAAATGAATTCTTCTGAAATTATTACGTTACTCAGGTAGTCCAAAGGGTTTTTTTTGTATAGATATGTTGAGTTTAGGTTTCTCTGCTATTGTACAGTAATACACATTGAGGCTATCAGGGTTGATGTCAATTTGCACTGGAAACTTGTTTATTTTGCATCTCAGATCATTGAAAATAGCCCAGTTCTCTTTAGGTCTATTGGACGCTTTGGAAAATCTCTCATTATAATATTTCTCTGGGGTGATTGGGACAGGTGCTTGTTTTGGACTTACACTAAGTAAGTATGTTTTTTGGCACTTTTCCATTTGGACTTTTCAGCCAGAAGTTATTCGCTATCTCTGCTCGATCATACATGTGTAAACAAGTTATTGAAACCAACACAAAATGGCTATCAATGTTCATTATGTAGAATTATATATTTACGTTTACTTAATATTCATAAATTCATGTACTTATATTTGTAGCTGTTCAGCTGGACTTAATATTGTTCTGTCCATATACTCTGCTCCGGTGTTTAAGCATTATTTTATAGTTTATATTTGTTAATTGTCCCTTATACATGTTTTACTTTACTAGACTTTGCCAATAAGATGTTTATATTTTGGGTAATAAAGCATATTTTGATTTGATTTGATTT